TTATAAAATAAGTCATCTTTAATGGTGACACACTCATCATTAGATCTGAACTTAATCGTTTAATGAGGTCAATATTCTGATTTTTGAACAAAAACACACGACTGCTTAATGTATCTTCGGTAAATTCTTCCTTCCTTTTTGAAACCCCCCTCAGATTGATGCTCATCCCATGAATGATTTTCTAGTTGGACAAACTGATACACGAGTTATTATTCGTTTAAATATACATGTAGGCAATATTTCTTTAGTGGATCAATTTGAATGGGATCTTTCTGAACCAAATAATTCACCAGAACAATTTGCTTCAAGACTTTGTGCTGAATTAGGTTTAGGTGGAGAATTTGTTACAGCTGTTGCTTATAGTATTCGTGGACAACTTGCTTGGCATCAGAAAATTTATGCTTTCAGGTAATTACTTTGTTTGATTTTATAATATGAATGGTGTTGTGGCTACCTTTTCACTCACTCACACACACATAGCATATTTTGTATTTTTCAGTAGCCTACGTATAGTTTGTGTGTGTTCTTTCATCAGTCATAATAGTAATACCATTCTATTGTTTTTAACAATTTCCTCTATCATAACTGTTATGATTTCAATCGGTTCACTGTTGTACACTGTTTGTAGATGTATTCAAGACAATCTTATATTGATCAGTACTATGATATGGTACATTACATTGATACGTTATACAGAAGGTCATAAATTATCGACAAGACACACTAATAGTTACTATGGTATTTCACAGTGCAAAACAAATAGTCTAGTTACTACCTTGATTTAGATAGTCTGGTACCCCACTTTACATACACAGAATCTGTCTAAGTCAAGTACAGGGTCTGTTTATCATTACCGAGAATTATATAAAGCGCTAAGATTCCTCAGATCATATCTGTTCGAAAAATATAAAATAACCTGTTCACAGATTAACTGAACTACAAATGATCAGTATCTTATTGGCATAATTGCGGATTGCCTCGATATTGCCACTAAGTCACAAGTCTTTAAAGCAGAGATAGATTGTGGTGAGCAGTGGTATCCAGGATCCAGATTTCGTTCTATTTAGGAATCGTAGGTACATTCAGCTGACGAGTTCCAAGTAAGACGAAACGTGGGGCCACCATCCATCTCTGTTTAAAGCATCTATGATACTGTTATGTTATTATTATTCTAGTACATGTGTAGTGATTTACATTTGTGCTGATCATTTTGTTTAAGAAGATGGTGAAAACTTCATATAACACTCATTGACATCTAAAGTGTGTAGAATGCACAACTTGACAAGCAATTACATAACTCTCGGCTTTTCCCAAATGATACAATGAACTGCTTACATAACTACATGTTATAACACTTTTTTAAGTTTCATTTTTACTCTTCCAGTGAATCTCCTTTACCGACAGTCGATGTAGTTTTCCGTAATTCAAATGAAGCTGATCAATGGAGTCCAGTTGTTGAAGTTCTTACGGATGCAGAAATGGAGAAAAAGATACGCGATCAAGATCGTAATACCAGGTAAGTATCACTATAGCCCCAACCATAGAAAGTTACAATCAAATAAATCATTAATGCATAGTAAAAGGAAGTCCTTTGAGTTTGACAAATCAACATATGTTGAATTCACAATATATCTTTAAGTTTAATAGTCTTGTGAATCCAGCAAATTTGACATGGGACTATAATATATATGGGCAACCTTTGACCGACTCTAAGGTGATGTCCACATAATAGCTAGGTCTAAATGAGAGTTATAAACCAGTATGGGGAATTAGAATTATGATTTACAGTTGATGATTAAGGTTAGGAATTAGACTTATGGTTTTTATCACGAAATGACATCAGCTATAATGTCAAAGTAGTATTTAACCAAATAAGTGAATGAATTTCGCGCCATAGTCCAAGACCTGATAACCTAAATCTGATTGGTTCTTCCATAAATAATAGTCTTGCCGTTGAAATTGTGGTATTTTCACATTCCTCACTATACGCCATGCGGTACAGGAAATGATCAATACTGGTTAATTTAAATATACTATGTTTAGTAGCTGTTGGGGATGTTAGATCCCCAGAACCCACTTGGTAAATGCCTTATTTTTGTAATTCTATTTTGAATTTCTTGTTTTCGCGCCATAAGCACCCATTTTCACCTTCATGTCATATTTCCCACTTGGGAGGACCTTAAATGCTATTGGTTCGTTGTCTCTTTCACTATGCTATTTTGTAACGTTCCCCAAGGACATCTTTATGATGGATATATATACTTGAGTTGTGCTTGTTGTTGTTGTTCGTGCTTCTAGCTGCTTGTGGAATATATTTCCCTCTTCTGAACGTGGACTCCTCTTTCTAGTTAGCAGAGTTGGGACACATCGGAATAGCTAGCTTATTGGTCATTGTATCACTGAGTCTTTGTTCTGTTCACAGATTAGGTGAATTTCCAATCTCGTCAAGCATAGAAGTTTGATAGACATATCATTGTTAATTTTTCCTTTCTACATTTTATGTACACAACTGAATGAATTTTGATGGACGGAAAAAACAGCTCAGATTGATTACATTTGTGTGACTATCTTCGTGAGGGGATTCCCGAAGTTGTAGTGAGAAACCGTGACCAGTAGAGCTAATCTGTGTCGGGTAGGGATAATAGGTATCTACCTCAGTACAATGGAAGATGGTTGCGCAGTTTCGTGGATTGGTTGAGGTTAGACATTAACACTATTTGACGCTGACTCAATGGTCTAGAGGTTAGGCGTTCGCGCGCGGGACTAAGAGCCCTGGGTTCGAATCCTGCGGGCGGGATCGTGGATGTGCACCGCTGAGGAGTCCCACGATAGGACGAAACGACTGTCCAGTACTTCTAGGTTTTCAATAGTGGTCTAACATCAATCGATTCATGATGTCAATCAAAAACTTAATAATATCCACAACCCTATACTGTTAATTATAAAATTTAGTCCTTTGTTTTCACTTATCATCGGTTCAGACAAACAAACAAGCACATTGTTCTCATTTTTATCTTTCGAATTTATGTCGAATGAGAAGTAAAGTCAACTAGATTCACTTTTATTGACGAGTTTCAAATTTATTTTGGGCATGTTTTGTTGTTAGTTCCTATTATGTATTCCTAAACATACCATAAATACTCGTTTAGATTGTGATATGGCATCTATTACTACTAGTGAAAATGTTGTACTGTCAATGAAGAAAGGCCCATTCAGATTTATTAATCATTTATGATCATAAATAATCATGCACACTACCTATTTTAAACAACTATACGTAGAACGAAATTGCGATCAACTGACTTAATAACATGGCACAAATTCATGAAGTCATTGACAAGTGGATTGAGCCATGTTGGTAGGTATAGACTAACTGGTTGGGATCTATGGGACGATAGCAACCGATGGTTAGAGACCTCGAATGATATGGCTCAAAATCGTTTTCAATGCTGTGAGCAGGTGCATCCGCTCTCTGTGTTCTCCAGAATTTTAATCTTCTGAATTCTTCATGTACCTTTTTTTCTCCTTCCAAATTTATTTCACTGGAGTGTACTCCTTGAATAACGTCCTCAAACTCTAATCTTTTTGATCACTGCTTATAATCCTACTACCTCTACCACTATGTGATTTGAATTGACAGTTGCATCTCTGTGCTAATGTGGTATGGCAAAGTGAACTGATGTACGTATGTAAGAAGTTCTACGTTGTTGCTGACCGACTGATTCTCCTATGTATGAGTCTGATATGAAAGTTTTCTCAGTTCGTACGAAAAAGTTACTTCAACTAATCTAAACTCCTAGCAGATTACTTGATCTAAACTTTATTTGGATTATTTCGTCAACCACACATTTTTAATGTTTAAAAGTTTATATACCTATCGTATCCTCATTTTCACCATGCATTTTTCTTTCCGTTCCCTAGACGAATGCGTCGTTTGGCCAATGCACAACCCAATTGGTAGACATTTTGTTTTCTACAATGTTTTCAGTGTTGGTGTACACATTTCTTAAAAAGTTTTTCAAACAATAATAATAACCTATTTATGTTAAATCAGTATCTTTTATTTTTCAGACAGTTAGTCATCTTCGAGTGTAGGACCAGGCACATATATGCGTCGGTTTAAGTTGCCGTACCTTATTGAGCACAACAAGATGAACACCAAATTCATAGAAGCAGCTAATTCAATGGTGGTAATGTATAGAGAAAAGATTGCATCTAAGGATGTAATACAGGGAGAAATAATTAGTTCGTAGGAAGAAAAGGTATAAAGTATAAATTCATTTTGTATTGTTTGTTCGAATTTTCCTATTGGTGTTTAGGACTGCAATTGACCAATCTCTTATTGTCATACGTGCATCCTACCTCGATTATTGCCTTGAGTAACTAGCATTATAAGCAAACAACATCAACTCCAGGATGCAGGTACATCCCGAATAGGACGAAATGCGCGTCTTGGATTCCACTGCTGGCCCATGTCACTCAAAGTATCCAATTATTGGCTACGATAGTCTGCATCTACTAACATGGCTCAGATCAGAAGTTAGTGACTTTATAGTCTGATGCCACGTTCTCGTTTGGTCACCACAAACTTCCTTCCGACCATCTCCAACACTGGTCAGCATTGCACGTCGTGGTAATTGGTGTTCAGGCATACGCAACACGTGACCCAACCATCTCAGTTGGTGAAGATTAACAACCTCATCAAGTGATTTACCGTCATTCCCTAATACCCTGCGTCTAACATCATCATAAATAAATTTAGCAAATATGTTAGTTGATTGATTCGGAAGAGTGTTTCCGCGTTATTACTGATTAAGGTTTTCTATCGACAGCATTATATATAAAATAACAGCCTGAAAGAGATCGGTAATCACCTTTCTAAATGGCCAAGTTTAAGAGAACAAGCGTAGAGTAGTAGTAGCGGTAGTTTATGCGGATCAACATGTTTTAAATGAAACCTACACTAACTGTATCCGTTGCCTCAACCAAAAACTAACTCGTTCAATATTGACATACATTTATTGCATATGAGCGGTTTGAATACACAAGTGTACAATGTACTACCGGAAATGTTAACATCCCATGACTTTACGATGACTATCACCGATTCTGTGTTTTTCAGGGCTAAGTAATTATGACATAAATCGGTATCATTCCTTTTCGAACTGACATTTGTATTAACATACTATAAATCTTGAAATCCCTAGTATTCAAATGCTTTCGGTAACAAATAAAATATTTGTAGAAAATTGATGTAAAAATCAATGTATTTAGTAAATGGAAAATCACAGGAAAGTTAGGTCATTCATCAGATGTTGATAAAGTTTTTATACAACTTAGCCTAATACGAATTATATTCATCGATTATCCAATTGTCTTTCACGAATATTCACGGACTCGTCAAATTTAATCACATAAGCAGTTCCCTTGTACCAGGTTGCTGTAACTGTACAAGGCTATAGAAAAAAAATAAAGAAAGGCAATTTACTTCTTAAGGTGAAATATCCAATGGAGTTTTCATGTATTATAGAACATACATACAATCTGTATGTTCATAATAAACACTTACTAAACTTTTTCTTTTTGATGGAGTCTCGTTCTCTACGCTGGATAGTTTGATTATGGAGTTCTCATCGTCCTTGTGAACAACATCATCAACGCAAACTTCTTGATTAATATTGACTAAGGCTGTTTTTCTTTAGTGAATCGACTTGACAAATCATAAGTTTTAAAGAGGGTTTTCCAATAAGTCAAATTTTTTTAATCCTTATGATGTGAGTGCTAATTTTATGATTGAAAATTTTTTTTATTTGATCACATAAACATTGTTACAAGGAGGCACCAATTAGTTATGCACCACATAAATCATTCGATTCATGTGAGGGCTGGGATACTGCCCGGGCGCCCGAACCGAAGCAGATGGTTTCTTTAGGGGGCCACACCCGGAGCTCTCCTTTCTAGTTCTCTCCAATTGTTGTTCATTCTTTTCTCATGTCTGTCTCCATTTCTGGGCGTAATGTGTTCTCTGGTCTTACTCTTTTCCCTTGGCATTGAGGATTCCAAGTGAGGGCTTGCTTTGTGACACAGTTGGGTGCTTTCTTCAATGTGTGTCCTATCCACTTCCAGCGCTTCTTCCTCCGCTGGAATCTGGTTTGTTCTCTCCTACAGTAGGTTGCTGCTGATAGCGTCTGGCCAACGGATCCGAATTATTTTGCGTAGACAACTGTTAATAAACACTTGTATATCCTGGATGATGGCTTTCGTAGGTCACCAAGTTTCCGCTCCGTACAGTAGAACTGTCTTGACATTTGTACTGATAATTCTGAGTTTGATGTTGGTCGACAGACAGTTGTTTTGAGTTCCAGATATTCTTCAGTTGCAGATTTGATGCTTTTGTTTTGCTGATCCGCATACTCACATCTGCATCAGATCCACTGTGTTCATCAATGATGCTGCCCAGGCATATAAAGGTATATACATCTTCCAAATCTTCTCCGTCAAGTGTGATTCGGTTGGTGCATTCTGTGTTGTATCGGAGAATCTTGCTTTTCCCTTTGTGTACGTTGAGACATACTGCTGCTACACTGGTCGACTTCTCTTGCATTTGTTGTAACTTGTGCGATAGAAGAGCCAGATCATCTGCGAAGTCTAGATCGTCCAACTACATACTAGCTATCCACTGTATCCCGTACTTCCCCCCAGATGTTGACGTCTTCATAATCCAGTCGATCATCAGAAGAAAGATAAAGGGTGAGAGAAAAAAACCTTGCTTGACACCGGTCTTTACTTGGAACGAGTCTGTGAGCTGACCTCCATGCACAATTTTGCAGTTTAATCCATCATAAGTATTCCGTGTGATGTTGACTATATTCTTTGATTCCCCGTAGTGTTGAAGAATCATTCATAGTATTTTACTGTCCATGCTATCCAGTTATAATAGTAAACAATTTTTTTAAGTGTTAATGTATGGTATCTTTATTAGCTGAAATGCTTCGGTAATACTGTGGTATGTGCTATTGGTGCAGACAAATATAAGTAGTATGTATCATCAATCGAAAATGAAATAACTGGCGGCAGAAAATTAAAAAGATCGAATAAAAGAGAACAAGGAATGATCGGTGTGGAAACGAAAGAACAATGAAGTCTGAGACGATTGACTGACATTTTGCAAATGAAGTATTTACTGTATGGTTCTCAGATTTTACTAAGATATCCTGTAATTTAATATTCAAATACATGCAATTATCCCCACTTGTGTTTTCGTTCACTACATATGGTACCGCTCCCAACCACAAGGACGGGAGGGGTGCTGTTCTGGGGACGCCGATGTGGGCTCGGCACTGAGGTACTAGTTGGTGTGGTGTGTGCTAATTATGTCGACACAAGTAGTATGTAATAATAATCATGAATAGAATGTCTCACAGCAGAAGATCGAGGAGGAAAGAACGGGAACAGAAGGCAATTGGTATGAAAATGAAGGAACAGTCAAGTTTGAGACAA